AGTCACCTGGCTGGCTGATGAGTTTGTAGTTTTGGGAATGGGGTTGGAATTTCCACCTGGTTGAGCCCGGAGGGGGCTTGTTTGCAAGGGTTTGGCTGCAGCAGAAGTGTCCTGGTGGGGTATGCCTGGGAGACAGCAGCCCTGCTTTGCGTGTGTCCGCAGACCGAGAGCGCATCGGCCAGGACTCCTCGTACGAGCAGGAGGGCAAGGTTCAGTTTGTCATCGACGCCGTCTATGCCATGGGGCACGCTCTGCACAACATGCACAAGAACCTGTGCCCTGGCAAGGTGGGGCTGTGCCCCAGGATGGACCCCGTGGATGGCGTGGAGCTGCTCAAGTACATCCGCAACGTCAACTTCTCAGGTCTGTCCGTCTCCGGGGCGGTGGGGAGGAGCGGCCCCATGGTGCCGGGTGTCTCAGCTTGTCCCTCGTTACGGGTCACACAGCAGCACCCACAATCTATTCGTGTTACCATTTGGCACCCACCACACTGCAAGTGCTGGGTGTGAAGATGGAGTGGTTTTGCTGCAGGTCAGCAGATGAGAAGGTCTGAGCTCCTGGGAGCCTTTGGAGAGTAACCTGGCAGCAATCCTGCCCTCACCCTGCCGTCCTCTCCCCTCACCCGCAACCCTTGCATCTTGGCTGGCAGAGGTCCCGCCGAATCACGCTGCTGTGTCCTTGTCTGTCTTCAGATCTCCTCTGGAAATGCATCTTTTCCTCTGCTCTATCTCCTTAATAAACATTTTCTGTCTTGTCCTCCTTATTACTTCTATTTATCTCCACTCTGTGATCTCCTCTGCAGTGTCTCTTTTATTTATTTCTCCCTCATGCTTGATTTTTCTCTTCCTTCCTTTCATTAGTGTTTATCTGCACAGTTCACTTGATTTAACATTAAAGCTGCTTTCCCCCCCTTTCTTAAAAGAAGCAGTAAACCAGCTGGTGCCTGGCATCGCTCAGTGAGCTCTGGCTCCTGGGAGGGTTGGTGGGTCGATACCAGGAGGTCCCTGCACCAGCTTGGGTTTGGGGTTGGGTTTTTTTTCCCCCAATTGCTTCCTCCACTCTGTGCCCATGCTGTGTTTGTCAGCAGTGAAAAACCCCACACTGAGGGGGAATCACACAGTCTTTTAGAATGGAAAAGACCTTTAAGATCATCAAGTTCCACCGTTAACCCAGCACTGATAACTCCATCACTAACCCATGTCCCTGAGCACCTCATCCTCACGGCTCTTAAATCACCCCCCGGGATGGTGACTCCACCACCTCCCTGGGCAGCGCGTTCCAGTGCCTGACAGCCCTTTCCGTCA